GAAACGAAAACCAAGTTGGAACGGATCGAACCTCGCCGCTTTGATCGTACCGAACGAACTCCCCGAACGCGCGCTTCCGCGCCACGAATCGATCCACCGACCTATTTGTATTCCGGCAAATTCATTTTCATATATACATATATATATATATATATATATATTGTATATTTTATATATATATATATATATATATATTCTTCTGATTCGAATGTTATTTTCTTTTTTTTTTTTTTCTCGAATTACACGTATCGATTGCTCTTCGAGAATTTCGCGTTCGTTTGGAAGGAAGTAAGGAGTACGGGAGGCTCGATCGATTTTTTCGCAAGAGCGCTAGACTGCGAGCGAGACGCGAAGTCAGACGTAAAGTTAGGTGTGTGTGCACCGGCCGGTAACGTCGATCCGCTTCCTCTCGAGTAGAGCTTGTTCCGGTCGGTGTTCCACTCGAGAGTGATCGCTTTCGACTCGTTTCAACGACCGAAGCCTTGAGGTGAATATTACGGTTGCAAGAAATTCGTATATTCGTTGAAAGCGATACGTTACGCTACGATAAAAATTGTTCCATCGATCGATATTGTCGATTTAACGCGAGACCATGTACGAGAGTAATAATAATTCGGCACAATTGTGCATCGAAAGCGTTCGAGAAGAAGGAACGAAATAATAATAAGGAGGTATGATCGGTCGAAGTTTTAAAGAAGAAGTTAGTTTCAATTCTCCATCTTTTTCTTCTTTCTTTGATCATCAGTTTTCGAAAAATCGAATGTTTCACACAGTGCCTATTTAAAAAAGGAGAAACAACACACGGTAACTTGAAACTCACTTTCGTCGGTTTGAGGTGCCGACAAAATGGCACTATGCTTTTTCTTCACATCCTCCACGTTCGTTTGGATCCTGTCTATCATTTCGCGGATTTCCTCCACCTATGCAACAGTTAAAACGTGTTAAATTATACCCATGTATCGATAACTGCAACTACAAGAGAGAACAAAAAAGGAAAGAAGAGAAAAAGAGGGAGGGGGGATGGAAAGAAATTACATACAAATGATGAAAAAAACGAATGAATTCGAGTAACACTCTACGAAATTTTGATGACTGTAATTATCGATAAATGATATAATTTTTCGCTTAATTAACACGGTGTAATAAAAACGGACGGTGAATGAAATATGAGAGAATGAAAATACGAAAAGCGCGTCGAAAAGAAAAGCAGATAAAAGAAAACGTACAACTGCTAATAAGTCGAAAGGTGAACAGATATCTCCGCGACAACGATATTTCATCTCTGTTAAAATTGTCTCTTCCCACGCGTTTGAACGCGGAAAGATCGAAAAGCGAAACAAACGATCAAAGTTGATACGAGCCCACGCAAACGGTAACTAATGAAAATGCCAAAGTTGCACCGAGGCTTCCTGTACAAACCGAATTATCCGATAAGTACTTACGCGTTAAATTTCAATCGCTCGTATCTGTTACGACTTATTCCAATATTGGCATTGAGCGAATAACGTGAAAAAATATAAAACGAAAAAAAAAAGAAAAATATATATAAAAGCATCAAAGAGAATGAAAATATTTGATACGATATTTGCGGAACGTGTAACGCCACACGGTTAGTCAGTTCGGAATCGTCTCGACCTAATTCCCCAATATCGAGACGAAACTATCCGAACAGAAATTTTCTTTCGTTCGTCCGTTCTGAGATTCGATCGTTCATTACTACCGCGAATACTAATTTAATCGCGTCGAATTCTCCACTCGAAAAGAAATCCCGAATATAATTCGAACGATAAATTTTTTCGATTTTAATCCCGATCTTATTTACAATTTTTTTTACGGAATTACCATCGATTCGTCGTATATCGTATACGCTCGTATACGTTATATATATCACTTTGACCGAATGAGATAATTCCAGGCGAAAGAAGAAAAAAAGGAGGGGGGAGGGGGAAAAGCGAGATTGATCAGAAAGTTTTGATGAGAATCTAAGATGACAAGACCGATACCGACGAGAAACTATAGTAAAAGAGTACAATTATCTTTTTTCCAGAGCTCGATGTTTCGAGCACAGATACAAATATACTCACTTCCGCGAAAAACTCGGTCATAAAATCATCGGGCCCGCCAACATTGACGGACACATCGTCCGCCACGTCATCATCGTCCGACTGGGCCTGAAACAAACGAACAATCAAAAGTTGTAGTTGTAATAAATTCGACAAAATTCGATACGATTATGCACCGTCATCCATCTTTCTTTCAATTTCGATTTATTTTGCTATCTCTGCACCGATTACTCGTGAAACATCGATCGTTTTTTATACTTTTACCCCTTAAAATAACCTTCGGATACTTTTATCGTCTAAAAAAAAAACGAAATTTTGATTTTTTATTAAAAGGAATACGATCGATAATCGCGTAATTATGGTGCTTCGTTTTTTTTTTTTTTTCAAATGCGCGCCAAAAGCGTATTTCGAATACGAATATATCCTTGCTTATCCGTCAATCGATTCGTCGAATCGTTGAACGCGACTTTAATTCCCTCTGACGAATGTAATAATTATATTCTGCCTATTGTACGTTCTCAATGGTCTCTCTAACTTAACCCCTTTGTTCGTATATACATCTCCTTGATTTACCTGGTTAACCAGATAATGCTGACTTAGCAGAATCTGTCGCGAGACAGATTATGTACCAAATTTTCGATCAACTTCGTTTTTCTTTTCTCTCTCGTTTTTTTCCTGTTCTTGCCTCTACACATTCTTATCCTCACGATCTCAAAAGGCGATCCTCACGCATATAAAAGGCGGATGTATACCTCGTTACACACCTCCTCTTTCTCAACTTCCTTCAGTTTTCATTTTCAATATCGTTTTTCAAACGATACACACTCGCACACAATCGTATATACATCCACTATGATTCATACAATCACGAGAAAGAGTTGAGACTCGCTTAGATTCAATTATCTACATATAACAATATTATAATAAAATACATGTTACGTTGCATGAAAAAATAAAATGAATTTAGATTAAAAATTGAATCTAACTTTTACCGTTCTAACTTTACGCGTTCCGATCGTCAATTATTATTTTTTAATCAAAAACGTTGAAAAAAAAAAAAAGAATATTAATTCGAATTAACTACACAGAATATTTACGGAATGCGATAAATAATGAGAACAAAGTTATCGCGAAATAATTCGAATTTGAATTAATGATATTTTTTCTAACACTATCGAACAATACGTGTACAAAGAAACAAAATGAAGAAATAGAAATCGATCAGACAGAGATCGTTTGAAAAACAGGTGTATATCGTAAAATCGAATCGCTTCTTCATCTTTTTGTAAAATATCAAAAATTGATTAAATTTGAAAAAAATAAGGCATGGATGAAAAAAGAAAAAGAAAAAGAGAACAAACGATTGTCGAATGTCATGCGCTCAGGAACATGTCATACGCCCAGATATACCGGTCTTTTAAGCATTCGGCGCCTCTGACAATGAGTCATCGACACCGACTTTATTCCTGCGTACAGGATCGGTTTTCGAATAAATCTAGAAATAGTATTCGTTCGATACTCGAAACATTGTATCATGATACTTAATTGGAAAGAGTAAATCTTCCATGGAAAGTAACTGTTTAAATATATATGTATATATATTTATACCGGTATCGAGAACTCTGTCATCGTTATGAAATAAACGATGACGAAAAACATAGGTATATTGGCAAACACCTGTCAGTCACAGGAGACATTGGTCTCTCTCTCTCTCTCT